CTTTTGCAGAAGTTATTAGTTGAATTTATCTAAAAGGTTTACAACACAAAGACTCTGCAGCTCCAGTGAGGCAGCCCCTGTTTAGCATTCCTGGTTAAAATGAACAATTCTAACCACTTTTTTTTTTTTAACCACTTTTAAAATAATATTTTTGTGTTCTCTAATAGGGCTTCCTCACCCCCCAAAGGGCTCTGTGCCTATTAGGGCCTTTAGTGAGATCAGGTTCTTTATGCTGTTCATGATTAAGGTGTTGTGAGCAGTCATGTGCATTAGTACGCATTTGCCAAGCAGGCTAGAATGCCAGCAAAGGGGTCTAAATGGAAACACTCCTTTCATCCTGGATAATCTTATAGGATACCACTGTCCAGGGGACATATTGATTAAAGTTCTAGGTTGATTCTGTTTGGAGAGAAATCGGGGAAGGCCTTCTACCCGTGTCACAGAAATTAGGGAGTATCTAATATAGCAAGCGTCGGAAATACAGATCATCTTTAAGGTGAGCGCCAGGGCAGCTTTTCGAAATCCCTGAGGTCCTGATCTGCCTTGCTTGTCAGGCCTTCTCCTCATGACCTTGTCATGGGTGGGATCTCGTGTGCTGGCTCCCGGCAGCTGAGCACTGAAGAATTGATGCTTTTGAACTGTGGTGTTGAAGAAGACTTTTGAGAGTACTTTGGACTGCAAGGAGATCAAACTAGTCACTCCTAAAGGAAATCAACCGTGAATATTCATTGGAAGGACTGGGGCTGAAGCTGAAGCTCCACTATTTTGGCCACCTGATGGAAAGACGACTCCCAGAAAAAGACCTTGATGCTTGAAAAGACTGAGGGCAGAAGGAGAAGGGGACAACAGCAGAGGACGAGATGGTTGGATGGTATCACCGACTCAATGGACATGAGTTTGAGCAAGTTCTGGGAGATGATGAAGGACAGAGAAGCCTAGCGTGCTACAGTCCATGGGGTCGCAAAGAGTCAGACACAACTGAACAACTGAACACCAGCATCGTCATCTCACCAACTGTCTGTTTCACACATAATAGTGTATATACGTCAATGCTACTTTCTCCATTCTTTCCACTCTCTCCTTTCCCCACTGTGTCCATAAGTCCATTCTCGACATCTGTGCTTCCATTTGTTATTTTTTATTTACTTTTATTATTTGGCCTTGCTGTGCAGCATGTGGAAACTTAGTTCCCTGACTAGAGACTGAATCCACAACTGCAGCATTGGAAGCAAAGAGTCTAAACCATTGGGCCACTAGGCAAGCCCTAGCCTTGCAGGATCTTAGTTCCTCAAACAGTGAAAATGTCAAGTCCTAACCACTGGGTAGCCAGGGAATTCCCAGTATATTTTTAACTAGACTTGGAACAACTTTTGACTGTAAATTTTATGAAACCTAAATGCAACAACAATTCTAATGAATATGTAGCATACAAATTGAGTGGAGCTTTATGTGAGTATTAAATACATGGTAGACTTTGAAGACTAAGCAAGAGAATAAATTTTTTACATTGACTACCTATTGAAATGATAATATTGTGGCTACACACATACTAAAATTAATTTCACCTTCTTTTTTTTTTTTACTTTTTTTTAAAGAGTTAATAGAAAAATTTAAATTACATATGCAGCTTGCATTATGCTTCTGTTGGACAGTCCTGCTCTAAGGTATATACCTTTAGTTTACTATTTTAAATTAATTAGGGCTTAAACTGAAGCTACACATTAATTTGTCAATTTTTTCCTGATAGAAGCATAAATGATTGAAGACTACCCCCAAAGTTTTGTTATCTAGTTTGTTTCTTGGTTGACTTATTCCAGACGGCTCCTCCTGACTAACATATAAATCTCTATTTCACAAATTCTTTTTGAATCAGCTTTACTATCCACTAGATTCCTCATTAATGAGTTAAATAAACATCTGACACATGTTCACTTTATAGTCATATGAATCATATTTTGAACTTTTTTAAAATTACACTTTGGCAGAGCCCACTGGCAAGGTTCTGCATGATCAGATCACTTCTTCAATAGAAAAAACTATAATCTACTATATCATTCAAATAAAATTTTTAAAAGTAAAAACACTTTACAACCTTGCTACTTAAGGAAATTATTTTGATTCATCCAAATCATCTACCAATGTTGTCTATGTGACATTTTTCCACATAGATGTAATTACGGATGCTATTTTGTATTTTCAGTATGTGCATGTGCAAAAATCATAAACATTTTCGTGTTTATACCTGTGCTTTGTGATTATCATTTTTAATAGCTGCATACTATTTCACTGGCCTTTGTGTTCTAACTCAACAATTTGTTTATTGTTAAGAATTTGGTTTCTTTCCAGGTTTTTACTCTTATAAATCATGCTTACAATGGACATCTTTCACATATATGTATATATATTTATACAACCTTTTGCTTCTGTTTAATTGCTTCCTTAGGGCAGATTCCCATGAAAGGGATTACTGAACTTCAGGGTGTGAACAATTTTATAGCCATTGACGTATGCTGCTGTAATGCATCCAGAAAAGTTTGTAACTATTTCTACCACTATCAACAGTCCATTAACTTTTTATTTTTCCAAAAGTTCCCAGTCTTGGTGAAAGAATGTATTTTGAGGTTTCTTTGTTTATTTTGTTTTTACTATGAATTGATAGAAGCAAAACAAGTCCTCAATTTAAATGCTTCTCATAATTTCCTGGTTTTTTTCTTTTTTGATCAAAAGAAAAACCGGCATTCTGGGGACACCTAACCTGAGAATGATTCTTAAATAATCCTTTTTTGTTTTTGTTTTTGAAGATAAAAAAAAATTTATTTCTATGCCCAACTCCAGTATTCACACACACTGATGCCAGGGCGTAGGCAGAGCAAGAGAGGTATAGTTGGTTTATCTTGTCCCCAAGAAGGGGACATAGCTAAGTCACCCTTCACTCCCAGTACAGACACTCAGAAGTCCCAGATCATGGTTAAATAATTCTTAAGCATAGCCCTCAGCTGTGTGAAGACAACTGAATGTGTTACCAAGTGTAACCACACTCTGCTCGAACCATGACAGGCCAGTGAATACAAGAGATGATGTGTTGAGGCAAGGAATACAATTTTATTCAGAAAATTGGCTGACTGCAAGAAGATGGCAGACTAATGTCTCAAAGTAACCATCTTCTCAGGGTCTGGACACCAGGTTCTTTTATAGGGCCACAGGGAGAGAAGCAATGAGGAACTAATGTCAAAAGGCAGAATAGGGACTTCCCTGGTGGTCTAGTAGCTAAAACTGTGCTCTCAATGCCAGGGGCCTAGGTTTGGTCCCTGGTCAGGGAACTGGATCCCACAGGCTGCACCTAAGAATTTATATGTATGCCACAACTAAGACCTGGTGCAGCAAAATAAATATTGAAAAATTGAAAGGCAGAATAGAGAGGGAGAGGCAATGAAGAAGTAAAGTAGAAAGGGTCTTCAGTCTTGCAAAACATTTCTGGGAAGGGCCAGCCTTAGGAAAGGGTGTGTTAATCTCTTCTTTTTTGCATCCATTCACAGGTGGCACCATCAGATTATCTTCCTATAAGCTGAACAAGCTAAGGCAAAGGAGAAAAAGAAAGATATACCCATTTGAATGTAGTGTTCCAAAGAACAGCAAGGAGAGATAAGAAAGCCATCTTAATGATCAATGCAAAGAAATAGAGTAAAACAATAGAATGCGAGAGACTAGCGATCTCTTCAAGAAAATTAGAGATACCAAGGGAACATTTCCTGCAAAGATGGGCACAATAAAGGACAAAAACAGTATGGACCTAACAGAAGCAGAAGATATTAAGAAGAGGTGGCAAGAATACACAGAAGAACTGTACAAAAAAGATCTTAATGACCCAGATAACCATGATGGTTTGATCACTCACCTAGAGCCAAATATCCTGGAGTGAGAAGTCAAGTGGGCCTTGGGAAGCATCACTATGAACAAAGCTAGTGGATGTGATGGAATTCTAGCTGAACTATTTCAAATCCTAAAAGATGATGCTGTGAAAGTGCTGCACTCAATATGCCAGCAAATTTGGAAAACTCAGCAGTGGCCACAGGACTAGCAAGGGTCAGTTTTCATTCCAATCCCAAAGAAAGGCAATGCCAAAGAATGTTCAAACTACCGCACAACTGCATTCATTTCACATGCTAGCAAAGTAATGCTCAAAATTCTGCAAGCCAGGCTTCAACAGTACATGAACCATGAACTTCCAGATGTACAAGCTGGATTTAGAAAAGGCAGAGGAACCAGAGATCAAATTGCCAACATCCATTGGATGATCAAAAAAGCAAGGGAGTTCCAGAAAACCATCTACTTCTGCTTTATTGACTACGCCAAAGCCTTTGACTGTGTGTATCACAACAAACTGTGGAAAGTTCTTCCAGAGATGGGAATACCAGACCACCTGACCTGCCTCCTGAGAAATCTGTATGCAAGTTAAGAAGCAACAGTTAGAACCGGACATGGATCAATGGGCTGGTTCCAAAACGGGAAAGGAGTACATCAAAGCTGTGTACTGTCACCCTGCTTATTTAGCTTATATGCAGAGTATATCATATGAAATGCCAGGCTGGATGAAGTACAAGCTGGAATCAAGATTGCCGGAAGAGCCCCTGAACCTGCTGCCAGCAAGCAGGAGGAGGAGCCGACGCACCAGAGACAGCCAGGGGAGCCGAGGAGGTGGCCCTACATGGTTGCCCTCTCCCTCTCCTGAGATGTCAGGAAGGAGAGGGCCACCTGTGTCCCCAACAGGGTCCCCTGAGCCTGGGGGTCCCCAACCCTGGAGCTCAGAAGTAAGGAGGTGCTGACAGGTGCTCAGCGAGATGCTCACCCACCCCTCAGGCTCCCTTCCCATCCTCCGATTTTTCCTCCTCCCCAATGTCCCAGTGGAGCCCCACCCCCCCCACCCTCACCCCTGCCCCCATTTCCAGCACCTGAGTGGGACTTCTTGTCCCCCCCGCGTAGCCCTGTCCAGGGGTACCCTCATGGGGCCCCCTCTGCTCTTTCTGCTGGAGTCCGAAGCCTTTGGGGAGCCAACCCGGAGCCCAGCTAACCGCAATCTGCGAGGGGCGAGCAAGACAGCACCAGCCGGCCGCTGTGGAGAGCTGGCCTGTGTGATGCAGTCAGTGGCTGGTGGCAGATGCCGGACTGCTGTGGGCCTGCGTCGGCGCGAGGTGGAGGTGCTGGAGGCGGTGCCTGCGCTGGTGGCAGTCCCCTGTGGCAGTACTTCTTTTAAACCCGCTGCAAGGCTGCCACGCTGAGGAGGTGGCCCTGGTGTGGGTGGAGGAGGCTACCGGGATGTGGGCCGGAGGCACTGGGTGTCTGACTGTAAGGCCAAGCAGCCCTACATGTGGGCATTGACCACTGATGCCAGGGCCGGCTTGGCGATGGATTTGAATTGATACTGCCTGTGTCTACATGATCCTAAGCCAGACTGGCCAGGCCTGAGACCCATGCCCTGGAACTGGGCAGGTAGAGGAAGAAGGAGCTGGATGCTAAAAGACCTCAGGAGTGACCTGGCTGCTCTGGGCCTCAGTCTAGGAACTTGTCAAATGGTCACAAAAATCATTGAGAGTTCATTCTGGGCAAGACAGATGGTGAAACCAAATGGGGTTTTGAAGGATGATTAGGAGTTATCCTGGATGAACTTGAGGGTAAAAATGATGATGATGATGATGGTAGCCAAAAGAAAAAAAAAAGATTGCTGGAAGAAATATCAATAACCTCAGATATGCAGGTGACACCATCTTTATGGCAGAAAGAGCCTTTTGAGGAAAGTGAAAGAGGAGAGTGAAAAACCTGGCTTAAAAGTCAACATTCAAAAAACAAAAACCATGGCATCCTGTCCCATCACTTCATGGCAAATAGATGGGGAAACAATGGAAACAGTGGCAGACTTTATTTTCTGGGGTTCCAAAATCACTGCAGATGTGACTGCAGCCAAGAAATTAAAAGACGCTTGCTCCTTGGGAAAAAATCTATGATCAACCTAGACAGCATATGAAAAAGCAGAGATACTACTTTGGCAACAAAGGTCCATCTAGTCAAAGCTATGGTTTTTCCAGTGGTCATGTATGGATGTGAGAATTGGCCTATAAAGAAAGCTGAGTGCCAAAGAACTGATGCTTTTGAACTGTGGTGCTGGAGAAGACTTGAGAGTTCCTTGGACTGCAAGAAGATTCAACCAGTCAATCTTCAAGGAAATCAATCCTGAATATTTGTTGGAAGGACTGATGCTGAAGCTGAAGCTCCAATACTTTGGCCACCTGATGCAAAGAACTGACTCATTGGAAAAGACCCTGATGCTGGGAAAGATTGAAGGCAGGAGGAGAAGGGGATGAGAGGATGAGATGGTTAGATGGCATCACCAACTTGATGGGCATGAGTTTGAGCAAGCTCAGGGAGTTGGTGATGGACAGGAAAGCTTGGGGTGCTGCAGTCCATGGGGTCACAAAGACTGAGCAATTGAACTGAACTGAACTGAACTAGTGACTTCATTTAATAATTGTTACTGAACTCAGGTTCAACAGTTCACCACTTGAAAGCCAATATTTGAGAGACAAGTGCTGGTTAGAAAGGAAAGTTTGCTTTATTCAGGAGTTCAGCAACCTAGGGAGAAGGTGGACTCCTATCTAAGAACCAACTCAAAGATTTTGTTCGACCAGGAAAGTTTTTAAAGGAAGAGAGGAGAAGCTTATCTCAGTTAATCATTTGGAAAGGAGGCTCAGAGTCTTTGTTATCTTCCACTGTGTGCAGACTTTCTCCTGATTGGTTGGTAGGGAGGTAGCAAGGCAGTGTTCCAGGAATCTTGTACTCAGTCCGAAGTATCATCCTCCATCTGGGTGGGGGCTTTAGTTCCTGCAGAAGAACTCAAATATATTGTTGAATATATCACCTGAGCAGAAACCAGGTCCCTGTTTTATCACTGCACTATAGTTTCTTGACCATTCTGAGGCAGGAGATAGATAGGTCCACCCCTGGGTAAGGTGATAAGAGAGTCATTCTCTGTGGACTGAAACTCCAAGATGAGGATAGCAGAGAATTTCAGAGAAGAGGCTAGGCCTTACCCAGACCACATATTTCTCATTCTTGAAGCCAGGAGATCTCCCTGACCATGCATGTCCTTGGAGGTCAAAAGGGGAGTGATGCTAACTGATGTCAAGCTACCCATAGGCCTCTGGCAGTAGAATCCATCTTGGCTAAGAGGTGCATGCACACATATGGGAGGATCCTGAGATATACAAAATACGGACTCTGAGCCAGGCAAATCAAAATGATAGGCCTAAGAAAAACCAGAGATGTTCCACAAAAGTGATTTCAACTACCACAAGGGCAAGAGTCAGGGATTTCTCTCTGAGCTCACCCTTGTATCCACACATACTGAACTCTTTTTCCACCTAGTAAATACTTTACTTGCTTCACAACTTTCTGCCTTTATGAGAATTCTTTTCTGCAAAGCCAAAGAGCCAGGGCTTTGTCACTGACCACTGGTCTAGGGGGTAGGATTTGGTATTTTCACTGCCGTAACCCACTTCAGTCTCTGGCCGGGAAACCAAAGGCCCACTTCAAGCTGCTTCAGGTTGAGGCTACCAAAGATCAGTTCCTCTTTTCATTCCCCATTACCTCACTATTCACTATTTTGATTAACAACTGTTTGACTTTACCCTTTGATAATCAGGGAAGGTCTAGGAGGCTGAAGCTTCTTTCCTACCTACAAGAAACTGAGGACACGGAAAAGATTTGTACCAGGGGAGGTTCCGATAGGGTCCTGCTCAGTTTTGTAATCACTTCTTTAAAGGCTTTATGCACAAATATAAAGATAAACCATGTTTATGTTTGATTGACAACTTAGGTGTCAAAATTCTAAACTGGGTTAGAACTTCGATTTATGAATTGGATAGGCAGGTAGGGTCAGGCAGACACAGTTCTGCCTATAATGCTAGTGTTAGCAATATTTGTTACAATTTGTAGAAATAAAAGTTTCAAAACTGGTAAAGTTAAAGCCCCTAGAAGGATGGTGTTTAGAAAAATCACAATTCAAATAAGCAGTGTAAGGGCAGAAAAAATTTCCCAGCCTGCCTTCTATTGCAGGAGAGTGGGGCACAGGAGGATGGTCACATCCCAGTTCCTGCAACAGCCACCAAGTGTGTGTTCTTGGTTTCATGAAACAAAGAATTCAAGAGCAAGACATAGTAAAGTGGAAAAGGTTTATTTAGGGGGGAAACACACTTCTTTGACAGAGTGGGCCATCTCAGAAGGCAAGAGAGGTAAAAAAGTCATCAGGGTATGCTAATCTAATCCTAGTCTGAGTTCAAGTCCTAATATGAGTTGTATGGTTTCAATAGTCCTGAATATGGAATTGTCAGTTTTTATAAGGGTGGGTATTTCACAGGCTAATGAGTGGGAAGAGTATTCCATCTCTTTTGGGAAGGGGTGGGGATTTCCAGGAATTGAGCCACCACCCACTTTTTGACCTTCATGGTCACCTGTGGACGTGTCATTTAGCATATTGATGTGCTACAATAAGCGTATACTGAGGTTCAAGATATAGTAGAAGATGACTCATCTGCCATCTTATACCTAGTTAGTTCTAATCAGTTTAAGTCCTATTCTCAGGCTATGTCATTCTTTTAAAGGTTGTGCCCTGCCCACTTCCTGTCTCAGTTCTATGTTCTTTGACTGGTCTAATAATTAAACTATATAAAACAGATTAACATAGGAAAAACAAACAAAATCACATACCTCCAGGAGCAGGTGAAGATATGAAGAATCAAAGGCAGCCAGGTAACTGAAGCTTATATAATATCCTGAGCTAAAAAAGGGGTGGAGATCTAGAGATACAAAAGTGTGAACGAGGAAGGACCAAAAAAGCATTGTTCACCACCCAGTTCTACATTAAGTCATGACCCTCTACAGTTGCTCAACAACAGGGTAGAAGTCAGAGTGAGGATATCTGTGCTTTGGCCTAACAACTCTTTATGAAACTGAGCAAGACCCTGTGGGGCTCCTCGTCTTGGAAGCCTTTCCGTGTCCCCTATTCCTTGTAAGGAACAGACTCCAGTCTCCATGACCTTCCCTGAGTTCCAAAGGGCAGACTCAAGCAGTTGCTAATCTGGGAAGGAGAGGATGTAGAGACAAGGGAGGAACAGCCAAGAATCAAGTTGTGTAGCCTTGGGGCAGGGGCAGGGCCCACCCCAAGGGACACACACACCAATATCTTAATGCTCTTTATAGAAATCAAAACACCAGCAGATGACAGATGTATGTATGCTTGACTGCATGTATTCCCTAGACAAAAAAAAAAAAAAAAACATTCTACGTACACTGGCTCCTCCTCTACCACTTCTAAGTTCTGGGCTTCATTAAGTCCTAAGATGAGGTGTATGATCTCAACAAAAGACTGTGTGTTCAAGTCCCAATATGAGTTGCAAGATTTAGCTAGTACTTACCTGTCTCCTCCTTTACCAATACTCCGTCTACCAATCCTCTATCCAAATTACCTTTCTGAAACAAGAGGGAAGGGTCAGGGTAGAGTCTTTAAAAGAAGGATATAGGGGAGGAGCCAAGATGGCGGAGGAATAGGATGGGGAGACCACTTTCTCCCCTACAAATTCATCGAAAGAACAATTGAACGCAGAGCAAACTTCACAAAACAACTTCTGATCGCTAGCTGAGGTCATCAGGCGCCCAGAAAAGCAGCCCATTGTCTTCGAAAGGAGGTAGGACAAAAGATAAAAGATAAAAAGAGAGACAAAAGAGCTAAGGACGGAGATCCATCCCGGGAAGGGAGTCTTAATAGAGGAAGTTTCCAAACACCAGGAAACCCTCGCACTGGTGGGTTTGGGGGAAGTTTTTGAATCTTGGAGGGCAACCTAACTGGGAGGGGAAGAACAAAACCCACAGATTACGTGCCTAAAAGCAACTCCCAGCAGAAAAGTACCCCAGATGCCCGCATCCACCACCAGCAAGTGGGGGCGGAATGGAAAGGAGCGGGCGGCATTGCTTAGGGTAAGGACTGGGCCTGAGTGCCCTGAGGACAATCGGAGGGAGCTTTTGTGAGTTACCAACTTAAACTGTAGGACAGCAAAAGAGAGAGAGAAAATTAACCGGCCCAAACACACTGCCGGCTCTTCGCAGAACAAAGGGTCTGAGCAAGTCCAGAGAAGAGCTAGAAGGCTGCGGACCGGCCCAGCCCCGCCGGAGGCAGGAGGCAGGGAGGAGGGGAAAGGGGCAGGCTCGGCCCCAAGGACAGCATCCCCTA